GATTCGACTTGAATTCGAACTCGGCTACCCGATTCCTCAATTTATCTTTGGACAGGATTAAACACAAATGAGATAGTATTAACTAAGTCAGAAAGAAAGCGTGAGAGAAAGAAAGAAACATATATATATATATATATATATATATATATATATATATATATATATATATATATAGAGAGAGAGAGAGAGAGAGAGGAAGGTGGAGGTGGGAAAGTGTGCGAGAAAGAGAAAATGAAAGAGAGAAAATGAGACAGAGAGAGAGAAAGGAAAAAGAAAAAACTATGTGTGGGAAAATGCGAGAGAGAAAGAGAGAGGACGTGTGTGAGAGAGATGTAAGTAAGAGAAATTGAAAGAGAGAGGTTGTGCGTGTGGAAGAGAGAGAGAGAGAGAGAGATAACGCAAAAGAAAGAAAATGTGTGTGAGTAAGAGGAAGTGAAAGAGAGAGAATGCGTGTGTGAGAAAGACCAAGAGAAATTGAAAGAAAGAGAAAGTGTGTTTGAAAGAAAAAGCGAAAGAGAGAGAGAAAGAGAGAGAGAGAAAGAAAGAAAGAAAGAAAGAAAGAAAGAAAGGAGGAATGAAAGAGAGATGAGAAAGAAAGACAAAACTGGGAAAAGACGAAGAGAAACCTTAAGTAGGATGATGTCAGAATTATGAGATAAAGTCAAGGAATATCGGCGACAGGGTTTAGTTTTGAAATGAATCAGGAAAACGACATGCGAATGTTTACACGACACTTGGTTTCTGTCAGTTCTGATTACCCCCTCTTTATCGGCAGAAGGCCACTGACATAATCAGAAAAAAAAAATGAGATGACATAAAAAAAGATGAAACTGGAGCCGACGGAAGGCCGGAATCTCTACGACGACATGATATCACATTGGAAATGTTAGCACAAACACTTCTAACTTTAAAGAAAGTTGAAAGACTCATTTCGAAAGCGGAGAAAAAAAAACTATTTGTTTGCTTCGATTGAGAATTCATACATGTAGTTTACAAGCAATCTGTTTGCTTGGGCTGTTGCAACGTTTTTGTTTAGTTTTCGGCCATCCATGTAAACATTTCAAATATTGCTAGTGAGTACTTACAGTTACATACAAGTTCTTCGCGTGTGGTAAACGTTGTCTGTAAAATTCTCGTTTTCGCATCTAGATTCAGAAAGGGCAAATATGGTTAAACAAATATATGGCGGAAAATCTCTTATTCTGTTACATCAGTTTGTCTCCATGAATCGATTGTCTTGCTGTCGTAAATTTAATTGGCGCGACAGTGAACCATCGGGCTAAACAAATATAACACGTTTCAAAGTTAACGATAAAGAAATCGCTTTTCGGCCTTTTGACTGAGATGAAAGCGTAGTAACTGTTCTCTCATTATTTTAGATGGGAGAAGATGCCCGACCATGCTGCAGCACATCCCACATTGCTCAAAGAGAGATGGTTTGGTATAATATCAACGCCGGTGTGACTGTGGTCGCAGGGACTGGGCAGTCTTTGTCCATGGCCCACACACATAAGCACCACACTTTAAAAAAAGATCATTTATCACATCCTGCCTTAGTGGGGAGGTCGGGTAAATACTATCGCTTTTCGGTCTTTCGGCTGGGATGAAAGCATAGTATCTGTTCTCGTCTTAGTTTACATGCGAGAAGGCGCCCGGTCCATGGATTCAAATCCGGTGGCAGCAAATTCCTCATTGCACTAAGAAACGTGAAGTGGGTGGCAGTGTAATATCGACGCTTGCATGACAATGGTTACGTGGACTATAAAATTGTCCTTGGCCCTTATGCATATGAATGTGTATAGGTACCCCACATAAAAAGAATATATTTTGTCACATCCTACCTCAGTAGAGAGATCAGGTAAATACTATCGCTTTTCTGTCTTTTCATGGAGATCAATCCTCATTTTAAATGGAAGAGAACGCGACAGATCCCGGGGATTGCAACCCTTCAGTGCAACCTCCTTCATTGCACTAAAACAAGGCGGATTGTGGAATATCATGACAGGGGTTGTAAAGGCGTGTTATTTTTTTTTTAATTGGCCGAAGGCAGCCCCACATTAAAAAGAACTCGTCACGTATTTTTACCATGCGGAGGCGAGTAAATAATCAATTCTCGGCTGTCGAGTCGAAGTCTGTCTCATCATTTTAGATAGGAAAGGTCTCTAGTCTCGGTGAATCCAACCCTACAACAGTATCTTACTTATTGCACTACGAGAGTTGAGGTTGCTATAATATCGACGCGAGCGTGACAGCCGTTGAAGGGACTGGGGAATATTTGTTTTTGAACCATGAGCACGTATGGATCTCCCACACAAAAAAAAAAACCTTGTGTCAAATACTACCTTAGTAGTGAGTTTAGTTAAATAAAATCTACCCCGTCAATTATATTTAATAATAGCGAGGACATATTGAAATTCGGGATTATTTTACTTTATTTTTTTGCATTACGTCACAGGTCATTATTTAAAGAAGGAAGGAACAAAGTATGAATTAAAATACTGAAAACTGGTAAGGTCTTATATTTCACTGAAGCAGACGTTAAATGCAGGAAATAATGTTTTCCTTTCTTTCTTTCTTTCTTTCTTTCTTTCTTTCTTTTTAATGATATTTGTCTTTTCCCCCACTAAAACTAAATAACTTTTCTTATATATCCTTTTCTTTTGTAATCGTTGAAATCAAAATTGGATGGTTCATTATTAATCTGGGCGTGAAATAATTAGATACTTATCGCAAGACTTGTTTTTTGTACCTTTATTTCTAGCAAGATTGAAAACTAGGTCTCACGTTTTACTGCAGAACTAATTAGATGCAACCTTAATTTCTCCTCGAACAGTTTCTCGCACTGCTCAGCTGTGGAACTACCTTCCGATATCTTGTTTCCCTGCCACCTAGAATCTACAAAAATTTAAATTCAACGTCAATTGTCATCTTATATTTTCTTGAACCCTGTTTCACTAAAGTCTCATAATTCTCTTACACTCTCTCTAACCTATTGGCATTATCGCTTTGCTTGGGATGATATCATAAAAAAGCACCCCCTCACAAAAAAACAAAAAAAACATATATATATATATACATCTTCAACAAATACCAGTGTGAGGTTAGCCGGAAGTAAACAAAAGTGTAACAGATTTACTCTGTCCGCTGCTAATCTACAAAGAATTTGGGGGCAGCGATCAAATAGACATTTACAGAATGTAACATACGTGTTGACTAGACTGCTATTTAACGGAGGAATCATAATAATCAAATATAATTTTTTTCCGATAAACATTCTGGTATAGGTAGGTGCTGAAAAGATCTTGGAATAACCTATTTTCTAAAGTATAGCCAAATATCAGATTTTATTTCGGGATCATCACCCCGTATATATATATATATATATATATATATATATATATATATATATATATATGGTTACAATAATGTTCACTCTATATAAGGCCCGAGTACCACTCGATGGTTACAAAGTAATAGGCTCAGTTTATAGGGATATGTTGGAAAGATAAAGGTTAACCTACACTTGAACATGATAACATTGTAGTGATCGGAAAGCATCCTCTTGGGAGTCGGTTCCACAAAGCAGCGACTTAAATATATATACGCCATTTATTTTGGAAAATTTATGGCGGTGGGAAAGTGACTGGAATATTCAGGCCGGTAGGCGGAAATAAATTTATTCTTTAAAAGATAAACGGGTCGTCTATACAAATATGGATATCCACTAAAAAATGACGTTTAAAGTGATATATATATATATATATATATATATATATATATATATATATATATATATATATACTCATCTTTGAATTTAAATGATTTTTCTTTGTAACATTTTTTTTTTAAATGACGTCTCACACATTCCTTCTCTTTAATATGTGAATTGCTTTTTAGGAAAGAGAGCAAGTGTTTTTTTCGCTACATTTTCCGCTGTTTTGAATTGTGATTTGGACTCCACCTAGACTGGCTGCCATCCAGTGCTAGAAAGGTCAGTCTACACTGCTGATTGCGGGGAAATCCGCAATACGTCACATATAGATGGCCCCCTGGTCGTTTAGCAAGCTTGTCTCGCTAGAATAACTACGACTGAGTAGTGAGTTCAATCCACACTGGGTGTCCCATTCTTTCGGCTTTGTGCCACATCTAATCTAGGTTTAGATAATCATTAGAGCAACTCAACGTGGTGTAATGGTTAGCAAGCTTGGTAATAGACTATATACTGGATAAATAGTAGAAAAGACTGAGTTCTATAGTCTTGGATGGCAACTGGTCTCGGAGATGAAAAACACTGTATTAAAAAATCTGTATGAAACCTTGGTGAAGTACATACAATGCAGTTAATTAAAGGATTGTTCCCATTGACTCTATGATTCTGACTATATAGTCGATTCCTTTTTTTTTGTAATCTCGCTTTGCCGATCGCATTGTCTGTGTCGCTAACCGTTACGCTATACACACGTTGACGTATTAATATTTTTCATTTTTCAGTTCATTTTTTTATGCTATACTTGAACATTGTTTAACGTTTGTTGTCATTTGCTAACTCACTTTTAACTTTGTTTTTTTTTTCTCGGTTTAATTAATGCGAATACTCTCGTCGATGACATTTTAATTTTGGATGGTTATTAGTTTTCATTGAAATGCTTCAATTGATTCAATACATATTTAATTATAGTTGTTAGCAGGAAGACCGTCTTCAAGTTAGACAAAAAAAAAAAAAGAAAAGAAAAGAGAAGAAAAGAAAAAAAAAGGTAAAATTTAAATTACAATACCTGCAAATTGTTATTACTTTGTCATCATTTTAAGAATCAATATTTCATAATTCTTATTAAGGCTACTTTTCACCAAATTGCTATACTATTCAACAACGCTCGACTGAGTTTCTCTACACAGGCAAGCTTTTCAATGTATTTCTGCATTAAAACCGTTAGCAATTCATTTAAATTACCCATATAATTAGCCTATTCTGTAATTAAAACTTATAATAATTCCTAGGCTTACGGCCACATCACGTTGAAACACCGGTTCCTGTATGATCACCGAAGTTAAGAAACGTTGAGCCTGCTCAGTACCTAGGTGGGGGACCACTTGGGAAGACCAAGCTTGGGTGTGCGGATGGTGTCATGGATAATGGTTCAGAATTCTTAATCGGAGAGCCGAGTTCCAATTCCCGTTGTGCTCGTTAAATTCACGCGGAAATACTCTTGAGAAAGGTAGAAAGATCCACCTCTTCTCCCCCTCATATAGGTTAATTAGTAAATCATAACTAAATCATTATTATCAAAAACAAATTCTTACAATCCAAAAAAGCTATTTCCTGGCTTTAAAAAAAACTACAAAGGGTTGATAAATCGTAGAAAATGATACACAGTCAACCTTGTATGAATCCATCTATTTTATGTCTGTGATATTCTGGAGGTGTTGAATTTGTGTAAAGTTTTTGAAGGCAAGATTTTGAGGGACTTTGGATTGAAACGAATTATGGGGAATGGTAAGAGATAATAAGTCCTAGAACCTTGTTTGGCAACAAGTCTAGGAGAAGAAAAACTTTGAAAGCACACCAGCCTGGAGAGCAGTTGGAGGATGGAATATTTTTTATTTAAAGTTAAATCCGTTTAAATTCACTTACGCGCAGATATCCTTGGGAAAAGTATGAATCTTCTTTCAAGTATGGGTTCATTAGTAAGACTTGTATCACTAAACTATTATTATCTTAAAATCTAAAAATATTTTCTTGCTTTAAATAAAATAAAAAAAAAGGTTGTTAAGTTGTAGATTCAGTCAATCAACAATAATTCCAGGCCACTGTCAATGTGTTTCTTCCTATTTTTCGTTGTCATCTATAATAAAATAATTTATAATTACATGAATCATTCATACAAAAAAACAAATATAAATTAAAATTGCACCTATAACCGATATTAATAAAATAATTAGCGATACATATACAGTAAGGTTTTCTTAATTCTTATCCCCCTGATTATGTTAGAAGATTTTATTATATTCTATATTGGGTGAATGTAGAAAAAGGTGCTCAGAGACATTATAGGTAAAAAGTGAGAAAAACAACAGAAATATTCACTTTTTTAGTATAGAAAATAATGTAAGCTGAATGATGGCGGAGGCTTAAACTGTATTTTGTCTATAGTACGTATTAAACTATAGTTGTTGATTAACCAGAATATATTCAAATATTCCATTTTTAAAGCATTTCACCACAGGCAAGGTGGGATGCCATTAGCACGCAAGAGATTACAGAGAGTGGGAGCGAGAGTAAAGAGGCGTGGTAAAAGAAAGGATGAAGAGAAGGATAGGGAATAAATCAAGGCATCTGGAGATGTCGATTGACATTACAATTGGATAGTTGGAGATAATAGCTATCAGAGAAACAATAAATAGGAAGGGAATTCCACAGGCGAGAGGTGCGAGACATGAAACTATTGGAGTAGAAGAGAAGACTACATTTAACTGTTTCGACAGTGAAAGGGTGGGATCGGGGTGACAGCCTAGTTGCACGTTTAAATTCATGCAGTTTGGGACCTAGCGAAAGTAGCTCGTCGGAGCAGTTATCGTGAAAGTATTTGTAGAAAAGACAGAGAGAGGTGACGACACGTCTGTTAGATAGCGACTGCAAACGAAATGCCAGACCAGGGCCAATCACATTGCATAGCCGTCAGTGGATTTTGTCGAGGGCTTTAAAACGAACAGCAGGGGCACCATACCATATATGACAGCAGTATTCCATGCAAGGGCGAATGTTTGATTTATAGATTTAGAGGATGGACTCAGGCGAGAAAAACTTACTGGCGCGACACACAGAACCAACTTTCCTTGCGGTAGATGAAGCTATTGATTCAATGTATTCGTTCCATCTCAGGTTAGCGGACAGTGTGAGACCAAGCAGTCGTAGAGAGGTGCTCACGTGGAGTTGAGACATGGGAGGCAGAGAGTGTCCTCTCTGGTGGATAATAGAGAGCAGTTTTGTTTTTGAGGCATCAAAGTTAACCAGCCAGTTCCTGCCCCAGTCTACAACCGATTGGAGGTCCTATTTTGTTTTTGTTTTTAGCGGCATATCAACTCCTTATGAGTCATTTAATGCCAAGATGTAATTTTCTTGGATGCATTTGTAATTTCTTTTACAAAAATGCATTGCTGGTAATATTTTTTATTTTATTTTTTTACACAAATATATTGCCGGTAATATTTTTACTATGAAAATGTGTAGTTAGTATTTTGTTATAAAATGTATTTATATACTTTCATAGTGTTTTCACTTCATTTTGGAGTGGGTGTAAATATTTGTCCATAGCTGGGGCACTAACAAGTCTTACCACCCCGGGTCAGGGTGGACATAGGAACAACAGCAATTAAAAGGGGGTTCCCACGCTTCTCAAAACCTCCCGATCAGAGGCCTTGCTGCCGAATGTAGTTTATCGTCATACCATTACGTTTAGATATTTCATATACATGTCTTTTTAATCACTATCGCCCCCATGCAAGGCAGTAAATCCACTAAAACACAAGGGGTTACAGGGTGTGGAAGAATTAGGAAGAAAACATTAAAAATGAGTGCGAAGAGTAAAATGTAATCAGAAGGACAATAGATGATGATTGACATTGCATTTAAATTTTTACTGATTAAAGTTTGCTGGAAAGCATGGAGCCGTGGGGGTGGGGAGTTCCACAAGCGAAACATGTGAGAAAAGACACTGTGAGCATAGAATTTGCGTTTACATCTAGGCAGTTCAAATGTAAATTGATTAGATCTCAACGCCAGACTAGAACTGTGTTTAGATAAAAGAAGTTTAAGTTTCATCGCGAAGACTTCATCCGAACAATTACTATGAAAATTATATTTTCCTTGCTTAATATTTTTGTCTTATATTGCTTCATTTCTCATATTAATATACTAGCCTTGAAGTCTCCCTTTGGGAGGACTTTATGCTAACTTCTGCGGAGTATTTTTGGGCTTTATGCTTTCTTCCTTCAGCGTCCTATGTACATAAAAGTTATAGGAATTTAGAAATAGTAAAATTATTTTATATTTATTAGACACCTTAATTCGGCATAATCTTTCTTCGTATACGCAGCCGAACACCGTAGTTTGTTTACCTTTATTTTGCGCACAATTGTTATTTTCTTTTAAAAGTCATCATTCTTTATTATCCTTTCACATAAAGTCACATTTAAAAGATATTAGGGAACCCGAATTATGTATCATTTCGAATGCTAGAAAAAAGAAAATTAAGATATAAGCAATATACCGTGCCCTGCTTAAGTTATCAATTGAAATAGCGAAGAAAAGCGGAATTAAAGTTAAACCTTTAATAAAAAATTGCTTTTTCTTAACCTTTCGCTCTGTTCGATAGTTAAATTTAACTTTAAATGTGTTATTTATTTAATTTTTAATCGTGTGTAACTACAGTAGTTAATATCTCTTACTTCAGGTTGTTTATGATAAGACGAGATCGAAAAACGGACGGACGAACACTTTATTATTATAGATTGATCAACAAATCTTACTTGTGATATTGTACATAAAGCAGATTTCTTGAACAAGTATTGCTTGTAATATTTCACGTAAAACGGATTTCATTATAACTGTGATTTTTGTTATCCTATTTTGCATATTATATAAAAAGAGTTCTTGAAAAAGAAATCTTGCTTATGATATATTAAATGAACCAGATTATTTCTTTATAATTCTTACTTGTGATATCATATTTCGTATAAAAATGTTTTTTGCAACGCATTTTTCTCGTAATGTTTTATACAAAGCCGATGTTTTTTTTATAAATCTTACTTGTGATACCTTTATACATAAAGAAGATACCTTTGACAAATCTAACACGTGATACCTTATTTTACATAAACACATTTTCTTTTTATAATTCGAAGATTTTCGAATCTGAAATCAGTTTTACATAAACTTCTTAATTTGTTTACTTGACTGAACCGGAAGTCATATACCCCGTTGCTTGTTGGCTTCTGAATTAAATCCTGATGAAAAAAAAAAAAAATAAATAAAAAAAATGGCTGCGTATGTTTTGATATATTTTCGCCAAAATATCTTAAACGATTAAATTTTTTTTATTTATTTGAAATTCAAGGTTTGAATATTTGAATAATATTGAATATAATTTATTAAACAGGCTGAGATTTTTATTTCCTGATTCGTAGAATTTTAAAAAAATACTTGAAAGTTGAATATGAAGTTGCGAATGCTTTTCAGAATTTACCATCTTTTAACTGAATAACTGCACATGACACGTTCGACGCTCTCGTTTGTTTGTCAAAGTTGTCGTCATGGACTTTACTAAGATTTAAATGTCATCAGGTTTTCAGGTTTCAATGTGTCACCAACATAACAGTTGTAATCATTAAAATGGAATTTTATAGAAGGCTAAATTTTCATGCGCGATAGGCTTTCGGCAAATGTCATAAATATGGTCAATGTATGCAATTTTACAAAACAAATCAAGATGCAAAATAATGTCTGCCATTTTCTTGAGGAGTTGAATTTTGCGTAAAGTTTTTGAAGGTGAGATTTTGAGTCAGACTTGTCGAAGCACATAACATCAAAAGGGCATTGAATTGTGACAAATTGTGGATCTTTTCCGTTAATTCACCCCCAATAATATAGTTACTTATCGCAAATATGAATTCACCCCAAGAAATAAATTTTAAATCAAAGTTTGTGTGTATTTTATTAAATATTTGTCACTCTTGAAATAATAAATTTTACATCAAAGTTTGTTTTTTTAAAAATATTTGCCATTCTTTTGAAATTATAAATTTTAAATCAAAGTTTGTTTTTATAAAATATTTGGCACTCTTGAAATTCTAAAGTCTAAATCAAAATTTGTTTAGCTTGATTCGCAACATCTCCAACCCTCAGAATGAAAAATGAGCAAAAATCAGGGAGTTATTTACATTTCAAGTGGATGATATTAATATTTTTCTCATCGCACTTAAGCAACGGCTGACGGCTGACGGCTTCCAATACCTTAAAATAAATTTTCTAGGTCAGACACCTAGACATCTTGCTACCGTTTCCTGTTATTGTTTTCCTTTTTTTTTTAATTGTCTGGATAAATTTAAA